TAGACAGCAATTGACATTGCATTTAAATTTTTGAAGATTAAAGTTGGCTGGAAAGAATAGAGCTGTAAGGGAGTTCCATAAGCAAATAGTGCAAGAAAAGAAACTGTTAGCAGAGAATTTAAAGTTACATTTAGCCAACTCAACTGTAAATTGATAGGATTTCGATGCTAGTTTAGATACCTTAGCAAATAGCTCATTTGAACAATTACTATGAAAATATTTATAGAAAAGGTACAGGGAGGCAACCTTGTGGTGGTGGGAAAATGACTGAAGCTGAGATGCCAGATCAGGACCAGTAATATTATTGGGTCTTCTTTGGATTTTATCAAGAAGGTGTAGATAAATAACAGGAGCACCAGACCATATTTAGCTGCAATATTCTAAACATGGATAAATGGTAGACTCCTAGATGTGTAACATAGATTCTGGAGAGAAAAATTGTCTTCCATGACACAGTGAACCAACTTTTTCAGTGGCTGACCAAGCAATGGATATTCGAAGAAGAATTATTCAAATACTGCATTGGATCTAATGTCTTTGTATTACTAATAATTCAAAGAGATTAAATCCAATATAATGCAGGGTTTAAAAGTCCAAACTCTACAGGCCAGAATTGGGATGATTTACTGTGAGTGTAATCTAAGAAATCTTGTTAGCAAACAAAGACTTTGTATAATTATTGTAATAAGTTAATTACTTTTAACCTTTTTCTGTTTATCAATATAAAATGTGACTGTGAAAACAATATGATTTTAAACAACCTTTGTGAATCGAAGAAATTTTAGTTGCATTTAGAGAAGAGTTTAATGCATTGTTTCATACAAAAGTGGAAAATTGTTGACTTCCAATTGAACTGCACAAATTTAAAGAAGTTTGCATAAAACTGGGAAAATCAGTGAAATTATGAGGTGTATAAAAGGACTCAATGTCAAATATTTTAAATTTCATTTTTTTTTATTATATACATTTTTTTTCTTTCGCATAAAGAGGAATCCAATTCATTCAATAGAATCTGTCAGCTAAATGTGTTTCTTTAGAATTCAAACTATGTGATATTGAAGAACTTATATTCTGACATATGAGGAACCTAAGTTGATTCGTTCAAAAGGATTTTAATAAAAAATCTGCTTGCTTGTTCAGAGGCAATTCCAAGAAAGTTTGGTTTTAATGCATACCTTAAGTTACCTCTTAGGTACAATGGGTTTTGTTCATCATATTCAAATTTATAATCAATAAATATAAATAATGTTGCACTTGCACTTATGTTGAAGTTTGTGTTTTTTAAAAAAACCTGAAATTGATGATTTTAAAAAATTATGTATTTCTTCCTACTGAACCAGAAAAGGTGTTCATCTATATTTGTATTTTTTAGTTGTAATTGCCTGAAGCCATTAAATAACTAATTCAAACTTTTTCGAAATCTACTTCAAAAATTATTTAAAGGTCTATTGAACTTCCCTCCAGACAGATAAATAGTGGGGAAAATGTCTTCCAATATAATTTCTTTCTCTTCATTATATTCTCTTTGATTTCTTTTTAAAAATGTTTTCCAAGTACTTTCCATTATTTCCAGAGTCACACGACTTGTCAGAGATGCTAACTGAATATACTTTGTATTGGCAACTTGGTCCTGTGAAGTAATTAATTGCTCAAAGTAACCTGAATAATGTAATAGTTCAGGTTTCTCTCTTCAGGTGTGGGGGGGGATACTTTGCATTTACATTTCTCTCTGCTTTATGGCCAATGTTGAATGGTTAAGAAATGGTTGACTTGTTTATTAACCCATTTCTCTTTCTTCTTCAATCATCATGATATTCAGGAGGTGTCTGCAGTTTTATGGCCTGATATGTTCTCTTCCTTTTGCTCAAGTATGTAAGTTTTGATTGAATTCTAACGGTAAAATTAGCTGTTTCATTATATGGGAACACTTAGCATTCATTGACTCTCTGTTGAAATTTATAAAATCTTTTTTCAGGAAAACAAACTTAACTCCACTAATTGTTATTGTACTTTCTATTACTGATGGCAGTTTCCTTTCAAACCTTTTGTTTAAGGTAGTGTGGAAAGTCAGCATTGGCATTATATTATTATTTTCCCTTCTAGTTACATGTGCTATCCATTTTAGTTGCTGTTGGAAGTCTTCAAGTAATGTGGTTTTTGTTATTTGGCAAATTTTCTTTTTTTTTTTTTTTTGTGATTCTTTAGTGCCAGTGTATAAAATTTGCTGAAGGATTGTCTATTTTATGATCTTCCTGATTCATTTACTTGAAGCCATTTTTATCATTGATCTAAGAAAATGGTTGTATATAACATAGTTTAAACATTTCTGAATGAGTTGGTTGCCATTGCATGACATCCATATGTGAGTCTAGATTTGATGAGGCTATTTTAGAACATCAGTTCTCAGGTTAACATTTTAGGTTTGTAACATCTTGCGATATTGGACAAAAGTATTCTAAGTAGCACAATGCATCCTGTATTCAATTTCTTTATCGCCCAAACTTAATTTGTCCTAAGCAGAATATATTTCTCAAGTAAGCATTTCGAAATTACATCTTGCATTTTCTCTACAAGTTTTTCATGAGTATGTTGAGAAACCAGATATTTCATAGTGATTAAAGTCAAATTGATGGGTAAAAAAGAAAGGATTTTGCTTTGCATGCTTTAAAGAAGAATTGTAGCTTATATTTTTCCATTCCTCAGTAAACAATTTGTAACCTGTTAATAGCAGAAAAAAATTACTGAGTTTTTCAATTCTGTTACTTTTCAGAAATTACACCTAGTACTTATAAAATCCTTTTTACTCCTAAATGAAAATATTGCTGACCAACAGTGCACAATTTTTATTTTTTAAAACCATCTTAAAAATGGATTTTGCATTAAAATTGCACGAGTCATTCAGTAACAATGATAAAATCTGCAAATTATACTGCCTGAATCCCTTTTTTTAATGCCCCATGACAGTTATTTAGTAGACCCCCTTTGGATTACATAATCTTACAAACTTACTCTCCACACTGAAATACATCCTGGGTATGATGATAAACTATGTCCAACATCAAGGCCTCTGATCAGGAGGTTTTGATGAGCATGGAACCACTTCTTAATTGCTAGTGTTCCCAGGTCCACCCTGACCCGGGGTGGTAGCACCTGTTGGGGTCCCAGCTGTGGGCAAATAGTTAACACCCAAACTTGTGTAAAAATAGGTTTTAATACCAGAAATACTTTGTAATAAAAAAAATTATTATCAGCAATAATTTTAGAAAGAAAAATTATTATCAGCAATACTTAAAAAAAAAAAATACCAGCAATACAGTTATACATTCTTTGAAAAAAGTATGACCAGCTTTCGATTTCTTCAAGGAAAAACATTCCCAGAAATAGATTTTTGAAGAAAAACTTATTACCAGCAATAAAAATTTTGTTGGCATTAAATAACCCATTGAGGTTGATATGTCATAAAACAAAACAAACCAAAGCTACACTGAAATACCAATGGTTTCAGACATTCTGCTTATCCTCAAACCTTATTTCACACAACCAAATCAAACCGATTATAACTGTTACCCATTTATGAATACTAATAAATAAAATAATAAAGAAAATTGGGAATACTAATAAAGAAAATATAATGCAATAAAATACTATTCAGTATACTAACATTTAACAATTTTTGTAATGGTTGGAATGCTTTAAGCAGATGCTCACAATGACTGTGCAGTCTTTGATAAGAACCAGTAGGACTGTCACTAGTGATTGATTTGGGGATTACTAGTCTTTAAGTCATGAGACACCAAGTAAGAATTTAACTAAAATTCATATCATTTTCACTGGTGGGCTGCCCCACTTTTGTGACAGGCCCAAGAATCACAATGGAACATTATGAGCCACAAAAATTTTAATACTGTATATTCAAAAAGAAAGATGTCATACAAATTTAGAATTAATATTTTGCAATTCTATATTACATAGGCATTCAGACCTAAATAACAAGAAATAGGGTTGCTGAAAGTTTATTGCTCAATAATAGTTTTGATTTATGTCAAAATTTGCTCTTAAAACAATATATGTTACTTTAGTTTATAAAATATTTCAAAATCTGAGGGGCTGAATTAATTATAGTCTTGATTAACTAACATTTTGGATTTGAGTTTTAGTTTAAATAAGTAAATCTCCACAAAACTGAATTAAATCTAAAGAAATTTAAGAAAAAAACAAAAATAATGGCTATGAAATTTAATGCCTTTAAAAATGTTAAATAAAACTTTATGAAACTAGAAATATTTCAATTCTTGTTACAATCTCCTTTTGACTCTTTCTTCCATGGCTGCTTCCAGTTCTCATTAATTGGAGTGCTTGTTAGTTGCCTCACATCTTGTACATCAATAAGTTCTTTATCAATCATGATGTTGCATATATAAATTTTAATTTTAAAAAAACCCCAAAAAACGTTGATGTTATAAATTTTAATTTTTAAAAATCATTGTGTAACATTATTCAGCCTAAACCCCTCCACACATTTAATTTCTGTAATGCCTTGTGTAGAAAATAAAGTTGGCTCACTCATCCATTTGCTGTTATATACGTTTTGAATGACCCCCTAAATAATGTTAATTTCATATAACACCCCCACAATCTATTTTTCTCTGTAGACAGCAGAACAAAATCAGTTTGTAATGTGTAAAAATGATTTCTTTGTAGAAATGGTCAGTCTAGTTTGTTGCTGCTACATTGTAATAATCGATTCAGTACTGCAGTTTACCGAGAGGCACTTCCTGTAAGTAGCAGTGGCTCCATATATTGATGTGATTCTTCCTGATTTGTCAATCAGTTTAAACCTTATCTGCTTTAGTATAAAGCAGAGGCAGGGTTAGGGTTGGAAAGAGAAGTGGGTATCTCTCCTGCTTTCTTAACTGTCTTTCTTGGGTGGATTGCTGGTGTGTGTGTGTGGGGGGGGTTATTGTTGATCAACACTTTGACCTCTATCTCTCTGGTTGCAGGTGTCAGTCGGATGTTCTCCACAGGTGAAGAAGTTCTTTGTGGCTATCTTTCTTGACCCATTCCTGTCACGTCCAGTCCAAGTGTGGCAAATCTTTGTGCATGCCTTGCAGCGTATTGACATCTCGTGTATGGAGGGACAGACAAGTCGGTTCTCGCTCATTCTCAGGTATGTGCATATACAGGAATAAAAATTGAGTGAGTGCGTATGTGTGTGCATAGGCATACTCACCCAAATATATGCACACACACACACACACATCTGCCTACCTATGATGTATATATACTTTTTTCTTTTATAGGCTGTGTCCCTTCAGGATATGGTCGATCATGGCTCTTCATAACTTCCTATCTTTTTAGGCTCTTATCAATATGTGCTTAAAAATTTTGGAAACAAGTACTCTTTTCAGACACATTTGAGTTTTATATTTTTTTAAAAAGTAAAAAAAAAAATAAATAAATAAATAAAAACGTAAACTTTGCCCGAAGGTGAAAATAGTTATAATCATCTCTCTAAACCAATACAAATTACTAAATAAACAATCAGAACTTATCTGAAAATGCAGACACAAAAACAAATTTTTACTATGTTACTTAAAAATCGAAAACCAAAAGTGAATATCTTGTACCTTGAAAAATTCAAATATATGCGCTATATACAATATAGATACTTTATATAAAGCCAGTACTTTAAACTAAACAAATAAGATACCCCAAACTCAAAAAAAAAAAAAAATAAGATAATAAATAAAGTAAATAATAAAGAAATTGACAAACTAGAAATGAACACACAAACCCAAATAAATGTAATAAATAATAATCAGCAATAATGAAGTTATAAATAATGAATAAAAAATTAACAAAATTTGACATTTGTGTCCACAATTATTTTACTCTAGAATAATTTGAAACAAAACCGTTACCACCCACCCAATAACTGTCAGGATAATACAATAAACCTTAATACCCATGATGCACCACTGACCAGCATATATAAATAGTTGAGCCAAAACACATGGTCTGAAGATATATATAGGAATGGGTACAAAAAAAATGTACATACATGCACAAATACTTGCACGTATGTAAGTATATTTATTTCTAAGGTGTTATAAATACAGTGCTCAATGATATGAAACAGAGCTATAAATATATATTAGTGAATATACATAATATTCAATGTCAGTAACACTACTCAAAGTTTCATGCAGTTAATTCAATCTTCAGGTGTGAATTCTGATTGTTATCAGTCATGTTCTCATGATGGTCATCAAGAGAACACAACACATATATATATATATATATATATATATATATATATATGAAGGTGTTTCATTAAGAGGGATCAAAGTCAGCAGTAAATAAATCATTGTTATTGGTGAAAATTTATTTATTTCTCTATTGGATCATGTTATGACAGGGCAATTAAGTGTGAAAAAATAATAATACCCAAATGTCTGCCAAATTTGAAAGAAAAAGAAATAAAATCTTTAGATGCTTAAATTTAATACACATTAAAATCAGTCCAAGTTATTGGAACATCCTTTTTATATATATATATATATATATATATATATACACACACACACATATATAGTTAGGTAATGAAAAGTTTGGTTATCCGTATGGATAATCCCATGGAGGATGTAATCCAGAGAGCTCAAAAACAGACAGCCTCAAGGACCCTTAAGGTTGTCTGTTTTCTAATTAAATATATATATATATATATATATATATATATATATATATATATATAGAGAGAGAGAGAGAGAGTTTACATTATAAATTCATTCACCCATTAAGGAGTAAAAAATAAGCATAAATGAGAGTGCTCCATGTCTAATGACAGTATAGTAATACTATTTCCTTTTATAAATGGGTTTTTCTAATGGTCAGCCACAACTACCAGTTTTATCTGGAACTGGCTGGTGATAAGAAACACCTATTTATAAAAGGAAATATATATTTTTCTCTCAAAGGTTAAAACATGTCATCTGCACAGTTTCATTAGTGTGCAATAATGAAATGCAAACTTGATGCAATTTAATGTCTGCCATGTTACTAATTTAAAGTGTGATTATTATGCTTGTATTTTCCAGGGGTACTCACTCATCTCGTCTTGCTCGCTGTTTCACATCCAATCCGAATGATATGAATCTTCACCCATCTGAAGCTTTCACTTTGGTAGCAGGAAGTGTCCATGAATTAAATGTTGCCATTCGCCCTTCACAAGTTGGTTGCAAGTGTTTCTATATCAACATGGTTGATATTGAGTACCATCAGCTGTTACGAAGTTGGCTGATCTTTACAAAATGTGAAGCCCCTGCTATCACCCGTACTTTTGAACTCATCCTGCCGGTTGGGGGTGGCCGTGGATGCAACAAACGAGTCTCCTACACAAACCCTTACTCCAAGAGAAAGAAGTTTCTCTTGCATACTAACCGAGATGATCTTTTGCAGTTTAAGGAGACCCAACTCGACATTGCTGGTGGTGATTCTCAGAATATTGGTTTACGATTTGCTCCCGTTCTCTACCCAGGCTCATTGGAATTATTAGTTTTTATAAATGATGAAGAGGATAAGAACGAAGAAACTTTTTGTATAAAAGCTACCTACTCTGACCAAATAGCCAATTAGCTAGTTTAAGATTAAAGTTTCAGAGAGATAAACTCAATAATTTATAAGCTTTCTTTGTTAATCTCATTGACTTTATTTTAGGTAGAGGGTTAGTGTTAAAATGGTAATGATGAATGAGATGTAGGTGGCAAGAAGTGAAGACTGATGACCCTTGACTTAAAGAGTTTTTGTAGGGTGTAGGGAAGCACCCACACTGGAGTCTGTTCCACCAAGTAGCAGTTCTTGGGGGGAAAAAAGATGATATAGTATTTGCTAAACATGAGCTTAATACAGGGTTTATTGCCAGATTGGGCTACTTTTGAAAGGCCAGTGCTACTAAATCCTTGTGGGATGTGGACGATCATGGCTCTCCACAATTCCTCTTTCTTGTTAGTCCTAAATAACTTTTAACCATTTAACATCCTTTTTTTGCTCCTGTTTTGTCATCCATTCATACAAACATTAAATAGATTACTCACTAATTTCTCATTTCTTTTTTTCATTATGCCTTGAGTGTAAGTGTCTCTAGGCCTTCTTTCCTCATTATGCATCTCAAAAATTACAACTGTCTCTTTCTGATTGCAAGTGTAAATTTCATTGTAGTTCCTATTTTCCTTTAAATTGGATGTGTGGATGGTATAATGATAATGACTTGGAAGGAAAAATTAGAGAGCTGAGTTCAAATTCTAGTTAGGTTTGATACATTAGGTTTATGAAAATACAGTTGGGAAAGATATGAATCCATCTCTTCCCCCAACAGCTGTGAGTAAATAGTAGGACTTGTATCTGGGGCAGGGGAATCATTGTTATTCTCAGAAAAATTGTTAATGCAGTATTCACTTGCAATAAAACAGATTCTTAGAATCCAAAATGTTTTGGCTTTAAATAAGTCATAGAGTTAAGCCATGAAAAACAAATAATCAAGAGACAGTTCCTTAAAATTTCTTCATTTAATTGTGCTTGGAATTTTCTGAATTTCATGTCTTGTAACTTTGTGGATTATTTTTAAAATAAGCTGGATGATGAATAAGATTTGCTTGGTTAATTTCAGATTAATGCTGAAATTTAAATATTTTGTAAGCAAGTTTTTTTTGTTTTTTTTTTTCTTAAGTTAATGGTTTTAGTGATACTAGTCATACTAATTAACCCATAGTTGAAGAAAGAAAATGTGGATTCATACCTTTCCTTCCCTAGGGTATATGTGTGTGAGTGAATATAATGAACCTGACTAGAATTGGAACTGTACAGGTATTTATCTATATGCCATCTTGCACAAGACATATTACAAGGTCCAGTCTAATGTGGTATTCTTCTTGGCATTTCCCATTTTAGGGGATACCTCTGGTCCCAGGTAATAACCCCAGCTTCTTCCCAAAGGAAAATTAATGCCCAAGAGGTGCTTGAGCTAATATTAATTTTCTAACCCCCATTGCTTCTCTGTGTGTCAATGCCAAAATAAAATAAGTGTCACATATATGCTCAATAACTCCTACAAACTTTCTTTTGGCTAAATTATGGAAGCTGCCTATCTCAAATCTATAAGTGGATGTTTCCAATTCAACTGGGTTATAAAAATGAATATTTTGCTGAATCAGAAGTTTTTTCTGGTATCATCAGAGGAATCTTTATTGGTTGTTGTCACTTTAACATTGGTACTATTTAATTTTTTTTTTTTTATTCACTGTCACTAACTTCAGTGAAGTCATCAAAATCACCAACAGAAAAACTATTGTAGATCAAAATAAGTATCATAAAAAAATTAATTGAGAATCAAGAAACTAGGGAACAATAGAAAGATTGTTGAGTGTCACCTTTAACATTAAGATATCATATTTCATTTTTTATCCCTGCTAAAAAACAATGTTTCATAACTTCTCTTGGCTGATGGTTGCATGGCTGAGTAGTTACCATGAAACTCAAGTTTGAATCTCACCAGTGTTGATTTCTCAAGGTGGTAGCTTCTTGATAACATTCTCCTTGGGAGATGATCTCAGCATGTAGCACTATTGGGAAGTGCCTACAAAACTATAGCCTAGGTTGGCCCAAATGCTGTGGGTGAAATTAGGTAGATGAAACTCAGAAATTGTAATTAAGATCTGCTCAGGATAGTTGCAGTATAAACCACAGTTTGGTTATGGGGGTGTTGAAGAAACACACCGTACCAGATAGGCACACTTGGTTATGAGCTCCAGCCATACTATTGATTGAATTATGGAACCTGCTCATCCCTGCTTTACAAGTAGGCTTTTCCAATTTAGTTGTGTTTTAAAAATGAATTGGGTTTTGCTGTCTCAGAATTTTTTTTTTCCTGGTATTGTCAGAGGAATTTATATTTTATTTTCAGTGCACCCACTTTGCAACTAAATGTGACACAAGGTCAAGGTTTAAAGTGAGTTTAACAGTAATAATGTGGAAGATAGCTCAAGCCCCTTTTCCACTTACCTTTTTAGGGATGCCTCAGGTGCTGGGCAACACACCCAGCCCCTTCCTGAAAAAGAGGTAATACTCTAGTAGGATGGCCTCCAAGGGTTGAGTTTAATATTATTTTGAAACTGCCGAAGCCAGGAGAGTATTGGTTGTTACATTAACGTTAGTAACTTTCCAATACTACTCTTTTTCTTCTTGGTTATTAAGTTTGGGGCAACAAAAATATACTTTTGGATTTGTCATGTTCATGAAAAATAAAATCTCAATATATTGACATTCTAATTGTTTATCAACTACTTAAAAACCTGTAATTTCAGTTATTAGTGACAGATAACGTCACCTGACTTTTTGGCCATTATACCCTGTGGTCTGGATATCATAGTTAGTAACCTGAGAATTTTCAGTTTAATCTGCAGTAGTAGATTTTTCAATCCACAGTGCATGCTTGAGGACATTTTCTATCAGTTAATTTGTCCCCATGATGCTACTTTTCCTTTTCCTACTGAATCAAATTTATATGACTTTTACTACCTGACCGAGGCCTGAGTCTTGAACTTAATGTCTGCTATATGATTTATTTATATTTCAGTCATCTTATTTTCCAGTGTTGTTCTATATTAAACTAACTTCATCCCACAAAGATTGATAACACTCTGCTTTTTCCTCACATGATCAGCCATGCCAGATTTCATAGTTTCTCCATGGATCTTTTTAGTGGGTGGCTGGTTTCAGTTTTTTATTCCCAACTAGAAATGCATGGAATACTATCCTCACAGGTTTAAGACATATTCAGTTCTAGCTTTGGTAAGATGCTACTACTTTTTAATGTTTTCTTGATGCCACATGAACTGCAGAGGTCTTGAATCCTTTTCTCTGCGATAGACCATGAGTTTGTTTATTTTACTATCTTCCTTCACCCTTGAATCTACACAAGTCAAATTTGATGTTATTCTTACAGAGTAATTGTTACTCTGAAAGGTGTTCCACATACTAAATATGCATTTTCATATGAGAATATTAGCCTTCAGGTTCAAAGATGAAACTATTTGTTTTCTGACTCCTCTTTTCCTTCTTTGCTCAATTCTTTATAATAAAGCAGACTGTCAAAAGCGACCAAGTTCAGGCTTGACCTGGGTTTAATACCAGTCACCAAATACAGAAGTATGTGATCTCACCTGTATTTCGTCTTGCAAGAGTGAGAAAGAGAATGTCACAGAGATAGATATCTAAACCATCACCCTTAGGATGAGTAAGCAGTCTCTCTCACACTGCAGATTGAGAATATAGGGTTAGTATGTTGAACCAGGGGGCAACGATACTGCAAACTGGCTGAGAATTACTGACAAAATGTTGTCACAAATAAAATGTTAAATAATGATGATTCAAGTCTCATGTTTTCCTTTAATCAGCACACCCACTTCATTATAAATTCAGCCACACCCAGATGTTATGAGTGAAGGGGTCCCCTTCTTGAAAATATCTCACAGAGAAGGACTGACAAAAGATATAATCTCTTTGTGATCATTAAAGCAACAAAAAAAAAAACGGACAAATAAAAAAATAATGTTAATGATGACTGAAGAGAACTTAGTAGTTCTAAGAAATAAAAGATTGGAGTTAGTCAATATGAATACCAAGCTCAGGTAGAAAGATTGTGCAGCACCAAATGTTCTAGAAATAATCTGCCAGCTTTGACAAATAAGTATTTGAAATAGTGTTTTTTTTTTTTATCTCGGATTTAACTTCCACGAGCCTTGCTAGGAAAAAACACAATTGTCTCAGCCACCAAGTACACTGTCTATTTATATTCACAATTTATAAACAAAACTTATTTATATTTAGAATTATAGCAAAAGAACCAAAGCATTATAAATGAGATGCTACAGAATCATTCCAGGCATCTTCTTTTTGGACTGTATTACAAATGGTGCATTAGACACACCACCAAGCAAGAAACAGACCCGTTGGAAGACCTCGTATTCACTGTTAAGAAGAAAAAGTTGAAATGGTATAGACACATCATAATAACCAACAACCTTTCCACTGCCATTCTACAAGATACCACCTTAGGCAAAAATAGAAGCAGAAGGTTAAAAAAAAAAAAAAAAATGTTGGACAGTGTCACCTAGTATACTGGAAGATCATTCAAGGAGAATCTGACATTGGCACACCACCAAGAGGGAGCTGTCCAACAGTGCAATGACCCTACGACAACACCCAGTCATGGGGCAGGATGATGAGCATGATAAATGTGTTTTGGTTGACAATCCTTAGCTTATTCAACAATGTCACATTGTGGGTTTATGCAATGGCAGTTAAACTCATGACATTAGCGAACTGGTCTGATAGACGTATTTGCTTGTTATCTTGTTATAAGTGGGTTAAAATCCATTACCTGGCAGAGAACCTCAATCTTTGAACAACAGGTCGGTTCTATCACTTTAGCATTGTCCAATGACTTCAGCTTTCATGGCTCATCCAGTCTAACAAGGTAAAAAGAATTGAAAGATGTCAAGTAGTTTCAGGTTGATATTGCCTTGGGACAAGAACCATGCGACTTTCATTTTCCTATCAGCTGTGGCATGCTTCAATGT